GGTACTGGGGATTGAACCCAGGGCCTTGTGCATGTGAGGCAAGCACTTTACCAACTGAGCTATATCCCCAGTCTTCTAGTACTTTCTCCATTGTAAACTTTTGGGGCATTGCCTTAACCCATTTTCTGTTACTATAACAAAATACCTGAGGCTGAGAAACTTACAAAGAGGTTTGTTTAGTTCCCAATTCTGGTAACTGAAGGGTTCAAACAGCATGGTGCTGATGTCCTGGTAAAGACTACTTGATGGCATACAACATGGCAGAGAAGTGGAAAGGAAACCAGCTGTGAGCAGAAAGAGCCAAGGTGTAAGATCATAGCAACTTGCTTTCATGGTACTAATCTAACCCCATGAGAGCAAGAATTCCCATGAGTCAGCATTAATCCATTCATGAAGGTGGTGCACCAACAGCCTAAGGAAGGCCCCACCCCTTAAAGGTTTTACCTCCTCCCCAGCACCACCACACCAGGGACCAAGCTTCCTTCCTGTGAACTATGGGAACAAACCACACCCATAAATACTTTGGGTGTCCCCACAATATCTATGGGTGATGTTTAATAAATACATTGTTCATTTAATCACCACTACCAGTCTCCTCACAAAAAGTAAGGCAGCTGTGGTGGACTCAACTAATAACAGCTGAATGAGACTCACCTGACTTCATAGAAGCAATGCTCTTGGTCATCAACACAGAGCCCCTTCCCACCTCTGATACTCACTGTGACTAGTAGCTAGGCTCCACTGTTCAGGAGCTCTCAACCTACTTCTGTGCTATGACCCTTTTAGCAATCTGATAAAGCTATTTTTTAAAATAATTTTTTTTACATTTTTCTAAAATTGTAGTAAAATATACATAACATCAAATAGGTTACATTGACCATTTTTAAGTATACAATTCAGCAGAATTATTGACATTCACAATGTTATACAACTATCGCCACTATTTATTTGCAAAACACTTTTATCACCTCATATAGAAACTCTGTACTCATTAATACTCATTAAGCAATAACTCCCCATTTTTCCTTCCCCTCAGCTCCTGGTAACCTCTCTTCCACTCTCTTTCTTTGCAAATCTGCCTAATCTAGATGTTTGGTTTAAGTAGCATCATACAATGTTTGTCTTTTTTGTGAAATAACCCAGACAAAAAAGCATAATGTTTTCAAGGTTCATCCATGTTGTAGCATCTATCAGTATTTGATTTCTTTTTATAGCTGAATAATAATCCCTTGCATTTATACACATTTTGCTTATCCATTCATTTTGTAATGGACACTTGGGTTGTTTCCATCTTTGGCTGTTGTAAGTAATGTTGCTAGGAACATTGGCATAGTAGATCTGTTTGAATCCCTGTTTCCAATTCTTTTAGGTATATACCTAGGAGTAGAATTGCTGAGTCATAGCCTAACTTACAGTAACTTTTTTAGGAGCTGGAAAACTGTTTTCCATAGCACCTGTATCACCCACTTCCTCTCCAACATTGATCATTTTCCTTTTTTTTTTTTAATTCTCACTGTAGCCATTTTAGTAGGTATGAGGTGGTATCTCATTGTGGTTTCTTGCTTTTGTTTTGCACTTTCCTGATGACTAAAGATGATGAGCAACTTTTCATGTGCTTATTGGTCATTCATGTATCTTCTTTGGACAAATGTCTGTTCATTTCCTTTGCCCTTTTAAAAATTGGACTGTTTGTTTTTATTGTTGTTGTTGAATTATAGAAGTTCTTTAAACATACTCTTATCAGATATATGACTTCTAAGTATTTTCTCCCATTCTATAGGTTGTCTTTTCACTCTATTAGTATTGTCCTGATACATAAGTTTTTAGTTTAATGAAATTCAATTTATCTATTTATTATTTTGTTGCCTGGACTTTTGGTGTCATATTTAATACATGATCATCAAATTCAAAAAAAATGTATTTTCTCCTCTATGCTTTCTTTTAAGCATTTTATAGTTTTAGCCCTTAAATTTCAGTCTAAGATCCATTCTGAGTTCATTTTTGTATATAGTGTAAAAAGTCCAGCTTCATCCTTTTGCATGTGAATATAACATTTTCAAGCACAATTTGTTGAAGAGGTTTGTTCTTTTTCCACTGAAGGGTCTTGGGGGAAAAATTTTATTTATTTATTTATTTTTGGTATCAGGGATTGAACTCTGAGGCATTCAACCACTGAGCCACATCCCCAGCCCTATTTTGTATTTTATTTAGAGACAGGTCTCACTGAGTTGCTTAGTGCCTCACCATTGCTGAGGTTGGCTTTGAACTTGTGATCCTTCTGTCTCAGTCTCCCAAGCCACTGGGATTACAGTTGATAATTGTTTATTATATAAAATAAACAGGATTATAAAGAAAATGGTTATAATAAAATGTAGTTACCAAAAAATATGGAAAATCTCTAAATTATGTTAATAATGTGGGTCTCATATCCACCATATTTTTAAAGTGATGATGAATGTAAATAATAATATGAGATACCTGTAGCAATTATAACATTTATTTTGAAGGAAATGCTATTTCCTTCAAAATAAAAATGTTTTCCTACTTAAGTTCACCTATACCCCCAAAATCTGTCTATAGACTCATGTGGTGGTCCATAAACTTCAGGTCAAGAATCCTTTGTCGGGGCTGAGGTTGTGGCTCAGTGGTGGAGCACTCCCCTAGTACATGTGAAGCCCTGGGATCAATCCTCAGCACCGCATAAAGATGAACTTTTATTTATTTTATTTAAAATACAGGTATTATGTCCCTCTATAACTAAAAAAAAAAAATCCTTTGTGACCTCTGTCATGATAATGACCTTAATTACTTAAGTTGTCCTCACCCCCACTCTATATTTATTAGTCCCTCTCATCTCTGGTTTATCACCCACAATTGGCATGTGTTGAGCAGGGAGGAAGTACTCCACACAGCCCTATTTCATTTCCTCCCTGAGGCACATTTCTTTGTCCATATCTTGGCTTTTTACAAGTCAAATGTCCCTTTCCAATTCTATGTCACCACTCTGATTTTCTTGGCTCCAGGATATGTGTCAAAAAGATCATTTTTCCACATTGTGTTTCTCTCTGCAAAATGATATGTCTTTCCTAACTTTACCCTCTTATGAGTATCACTAAAGAAATTTCAACCTAAATTCTCTGCACTGTCCCAGCCTTGCCATCTGGACACTTAAATTCAACCCATCTGCCTTTGGGCTTTTTCAGTTGTTCTGTTCTCATCTCATGTTTCTATTTATTTTTTATTTTTTATTTTTTAATTTTTGTGTGTGTGTGTGTACTAGGGATTGAACCCAGGGGCACTCAACCACCAAGCAATATCACAACATCCCAGCTCTTTTTACTTTTTCATTTTGATACAGGGTATTGCTAGGTTGCTCAGGCTGGCCTCAAATTTGCCTCCTGAGTCACTAGAATTACAAGCACGTGTTACTGTGCCTTATTTATGTATCTTTTTTATTTCATTATTCTTCTTTATGTATCTATTACTTCCGGAACATAATTCCCTCCATTTCTGAATTTTAACCAGAAAGATAGCACAGCTTAGTGGTTAAGAGCACCATTCTGATGTAACAAAGAATCCCCTCATTATGTATAATTTTAAGGCAATAATAAAAAAAATTTTAAAGAAAATCAGAAACCTTCAAAAGCCTAAGAATCAGTAATTAAAAAGAGCAATATTCTGAATCCAGGCTGCATAGTTTTAAATTCTATTCTACTGCTTTCCAGCTATGTGACCTTAGGTAAGCTAGTCAACCCTACTATGTCTTGCGTCCAACTATAAATTGGGCATGGTAATATGGTGATTACAAGGATTTGAAGAGTAAATATTTTTAACATGCCTAGATAAGTGGGGTATTTTTTAGTAAATAAAATAATCTTTTAACTCCATCTCTTCATTTTTGCAGAAAAGTTCTTATTTCTTTCCTCTTAGCAACTGCAAATACTCCCTTTCATGTCAAAAATCCCTCCTATACTTTCACATCAACTCTTAACATTCCTCACTATTTTTATTTAATTTTTTATAGTTTAGGTGGATACAGTACCTTTATTTTATTTATTTATCTTTATGTGGTGCTGAGGATCAAACCCAGGGCTTCACACATGCTAGGCAAGTGCTCTACCACTGAGCTACAATCCCAGCCCGCATTCCTCACTCTTAAGATGCCTTAACTGAGATCCAAATCACGTCTAAATATATACTTCTCCCTTTCCCCCATTAGGTTCAGTTTCTATTCCTCTAACTGCCTCTCTGATTCCATTCATTCTTAGATCCTCATCACTCCATGTCAATTTTATTTTTCACTATGCCAAAGAACTTTGATGACTCTGCAGAGTAGCTGGTCTTGAGCCAAGTGGCACGTGGCAAGGAGGGACGACTGGACCTTGTAAAGGAACAAACTGTTCCAGTGCCATACTCTCCTCTCCCCAAAAAAGACTCATAATTAAAGAGAACACTCTTTATGCACCTGCCTCAAACGCACCAATTTCAGAAGAATAGCAATGTGATGTTCCTTCCAAATCAATGTACTTATTCCTGAGCAGAATTTCACAGCTGTCAGGAGGTACTGTGGAGGTCACAAGAGTGAATAGAACACTGGCCAGGGAACCAGAAGACCTGGCTTCTAGCCCCAGCTCTGCTCCCACTTACTACCTTGACCTTAGCAAAGTCATTTATAGTTATTTGGCCTTACATACCTTAGAGATAGTGTTGCTTACAGTTGAAAGAGAAAACATGTGAAATGACTTCTTTTCTGAGCACACTACAGTTATATTTGTTGTTATAATAAATCCCAACTACCTAGCACAGCTCACAAGTGAAAAAAAAAAATCTCCGTATTCTTGGCTTACAACTCATGCTAAAATATAAAAAGCAAAAGGCAATTTAAAACCAAATTGGTTTGTTTGATTCATTGACTAGTGGTGATTCTGCTCATTTAGATGGTCTAAAGGTTAAACCAGGTTTATTCAATCTCAGCAACATTGACATTTTGCTTTTGTTTTGAGATGAGCTCTAAGTTTCCCAGACTGGTGGTAAATTATGAGCTCAAATGACCCCCTGCCTCAGCCTCCCAAGTAGCTGGGACTACAGGTATATCAACCACACTCAGCTTTTAACCTTGACATTCTGTACCAGAAAGCTCTTTCTTTGGAGAGATGTCCTGTCCATTTTAGGATTTTTAGCCGTATCCCTGGCCTCTACCTATTATATGGCAATTATGAGAATAAGATATACTGCCAAATATTGGCAGACATACTCTGGGGAACAAAATTGCTTCCGGTTAAGTTCATTGTGTTAAATGATTTTATATATATATATATATATATATATACACACACACACACACACACACACATACATATACATATATGTATGTATGTGTGTGTATATATATATATATATCACATACATTTGTACATATATTTTACACACATGTATCCTTTTTTTTTTTTTAAACTGAGGGTTGAACCCAGGGACACTCCACCACTGAGTGACATTCCCAACTCCTTTAATTTTTTAAGATAGGTTCTTACTAAGTACTTAAGATCCTCCTGCCTCAGCCTTCCAAGTCACTAAGGATTACAGGCCTGTGCCATAGTGCCTGGCTATAAAGTTCTTTTCTTTACATAGCTAACTCCTTAGACACCGAATTCCATATTCTATATTTTCCATAAATTTCTACATATCACAGATCAATGACAGACATAGTTCATGTCTGGTAAAAACTTTAGTATATGGGAATGATATGAATGTGTTAATTGCCCCCCCCCACCACATCACATCTTGAAGAACTGTCCTTATCATGAGGAAAGCAACAGCAATTCATTTTTCTATTGGAAATGGGGAGGTTTAATCTTTCCAATCTAAAACAGAAATAATTGTACAAATATGTATGAATTTTAGTTCTTGACATTTACATAGCACTGACTGTCCAGGTGATTTGGTAATGTCTTGAGATATTTTGGATTGTCACAGCTAGGGAAGGAAGGACTACTGACATCTAGTGGCTAGAGGCCAGGGATGCTGCTAGACATCCTGCAATGCATGGGCAGTCTGATGGGTTAAAATGGTCACTAGAGGGCTGAGGTCATAGCTCAGTGGTAGAGTGCTTGCCTAGCATGTGTGAGACTCTTCAATCCTCAGCACCACATAATGATAAGTAAACAAAATAAAGGTATTGTGTCCATCTACAACTAAAAGTATTAAAGAAAATGTCAATAGAGCTGATGCGAAACTCTGCTATCTGGAAGCACGGGTGGTGCACTATGCCTTTCTTGACTCCGTGGGCATACTCTTTGGAGAAAATAATCAAGTCTCTGCTCTTCTTTCTCACAGCTGCTCATGGCATAGGTTTCTAAGATGCATGTATATGATCTTTCCCTTCCTCGAATGGACATGTTTGTACCGATTTAAGGAATGGCTTCTTGGAGATTTACTTGCTGGTTTAAGTGTTGGCATTGTGCAAATTCCTGAAGGTAAGGACAATTCAAAGCCTTTTCACCCAAAGACAGTCTATGGGACCTTTTCTGCTTTCAGAATAAACAATTACTAGTGCTAGGGAAGAAGCATGAATTTTATTCACATTATTATCACATGTTCCCTTCAACTGCCAGATTTCTAACCTCTCCAGGATGGTTCCAAAAGTTTTAAATTAGCTTACACCCTTGAACACTTTTCAGAATATTTATAACACCCACTTTTGGTCACCTTTGCTTAACTAATGATTTCATACTCTCGATTACAATAGATTGCACTTGGCATTGGTTTTTACTAAGAAACATTTGCCGGCATCTCTCCAACAGACACAGCATCCCAGAGGCCACTCTCAATTGGCAGTTCAGATGTAAGACAAAGTCACACACATAGAAGTGGGAGCCCTCTGGGCTTTAGAAACCTTGTTTCCCAAATAGGAACCAACAACTCTTTTAACAAATCTCTTCCAAGGTCCTAGAAGGGACACTCCAAGATATAAGAGACCCTATGTCTAGAGAAGACCAAAGCTAGGGCTTCCCACTGGATATTTATCTTTCATTCACAGTCCTCGAGGTCCAGATGGAGTGCACTAATTGAGCTCCTGTTTACCATGGCTGGTAGCACAGCTGACATTCTGTTATCACGTCTCCAGGGAAACAATAGAAAGTTAACCCAAGACCAAATTTTTCCAGAGACAAGAGAATGGGTTTTTATTACTCCTTTACTCACAGAAGTTCTCTGTTCTCATATAGTCTTTTTTTTTTTTTCCAATACTGGAGATTGAACCCAGAGCCTCATGCATGCTAGGAAAGCATTCTACCTCTGAGCTTCACCTTCAATCTCCTACATAGTGATTAAACATCCTCATTTCTCTGTTATTCTGGGGCCAACCAGCAGTGCTGAAACTTGTAATTGTACAGATTGTGCAAAACACAAAAGAGACCAAACAAAAGGTCAAGTGGTGGCTGAAATTCAACTCTGGCATAGGGATGTTAATTGGGGAAAATTAAATGCCTTTTAAAATATTTGTTTATTTATAAATTATCATACAGTAAATTTGTTTTCCTTTTGGTATATAGTTCTGTGAATTTCAATACATGTACAAATCTGTGAAATCACCACCACAACCTGGATATAGAGTCGTTCCATCACCCCAACATCTCTTCTGTGCCTTCCCTTTTTTAGTCTCCTACTCCCCTGACCCCTGACCCCTGTTAACAACTGCCGTGTTCACCATCACCATGGTTCTGTCTCTTTGAGAATACCATATAAATAAAACATACAGTATGCAATTTTTGAAGGCTAGCTTAATTTAGTATTATGCCTTTGATATTCATGCAAATTGTATATATCAATATTTGCATTTGTTTGCTTTTTTTTTCCCCCCTGTACTGGGCATCAAATCCAGGACCCTGCACAAACTAGGCAAATAATGTTTTAAATCCCAACCCTTTATATTTTTATTTTGAGACAGGGTTTCAATTAGTGTCTGAAGCTGGCCTCAAACATGTGGTACTCCTCCTGCCTTAGCTTCTTGAGTAGCTAGGATTATGGGGATGTGCCACCACATCTTGATTTGTTCCTTTTTATTGCTGAATACGTCTATTTTAATACACTTTCTATATGTACATTACATTTCACAATAAAAAGTGAATTAGTAGGGGCTGGGGATGTGGATCAAGCGGTAACACACTTGCCTGGCATGAGCGTGGCGCTAGGTTCGATCCTCAGCACCACATAAAAATAAAATAAAGATGTTGTGGGTTGGGGATGTGGCTCAAGCAGTAGTGCGCTTGCCTGGCATGCGTGCAGCCAGGATTCGATCCTCAGCACCACATACAAACAAAGATGTTGTATCCGCCGAGAACTAA